CCATAATTATTTAGTTATTTGAAACGATCTATATTTTTGCAGTTTGAGTTCATCGAACAGTAGCAGTCCGGTGGAGCGTGCAACAAAGCAAAATAATCATGCCACTTATCATTCAACACTGCAACCACCCAATCCGATGTTTAATGTTCATGAATGTATTCCATCAACATCTTCCTCATCCGGAAACTCTGATAAACTATTAGTTGATGATAATCGTTATTGCGTACGTTCTGCTCCGTCTACAATGTACAAGACTTCAGCACATCCGTCACATTTAGATATAATAGATGGTAGTAATATTTATGATGCACCAAAATGTTCGCTGCCAAGGTGATAATAATCATTTGCATTTTAAATTTTTTAAATTTATCTTTTGTTTTAATTTTTTTTTCAAGTATTGTTTTATGAAATTTATCTTAAATAAAGCATTTTACCTAAAGAAAATTAAGTACTTTATATGTTTTTAAAATGATGTACAATTGATTTTTATATTTTAGAACTAATCCGCACTGTCCATCACGTAATGTAACAGCTATGGGTAATGGAACTATACTGAAGCCAACATTAATTGACATAGATAATAATGGTGGTAATGAGACACGATTAGTTGTGCCAGCAAGATCTTCTGATCATGCTAGTAATAATAACAATAACAGTAAAAAGAAGAATGATGATAACGATGTTGATTATGTGGATATTGTTGTTGATGGTGATGGTGATGATAATGATGATAATAATATTGTGAAAGAATGTGGTACAAAGTGGTGTTTTACCGAGAAACGAACAAGGTTTAGATTTTTTTTCCAGCCGTCAATCTCATCACTCAAATTTAAATTTACTTTCTTCAACAACGTTTTTATTAACTTCCTAGATATCATTATGAAAATCATATGTACACTTTACATCTGTAAGTAATATTCGCTGGTCAGAATCATTAGCAAAGCAGTAGTTTTGCTTCGCTTGAATGATTATATTCATTAAGAAGGCAATAATTTTGGTTTACTTTAATGGTCAGATTTGTTAAGAAGGCAATATTACCATTTGTTCAAATGGTCAGATTCATTAGGAGGATAGTATTTCCATTTGTTTAGATGGTCATATTCATTAGGAAGATAATATTTCCATTTATTCAAATGGTCAGATTCATTAGAAAAATTGTTCGTTATATTTGTATACTAAGAGGCTATATTTTTTGAATAGATGGAAAATGCAATCCTTCTTCAAAATTTGAGCATGTGATTTGGCAATTAAAATGGAAGGATAAATCTTCAGTACAACATATTTAGTAATAGCAATAATATGTGCTTCAAGCTTACTTTTAACTTTAACTACAATTCTCAAATTTTTGGTATGATTCGTTGTTATCGAATTAATTGCTCTTTCCTTTTCGATCTGATGCCTCTTTCTTTTCAGCGGCATGAAGCAGTGGCCAAGAAAAGAATCTCATACACTTAGCCAACAGGTTAGATATTTTATTTATTTTACAAACTCTTAATTAAATCGATGGATTAAATAAAATTTGCCCGAAAAGTTATTGCGATGAATCACGGAACGATAATTGCTTTTGTGATCAAACAGAAATTTTTATCATTTTATCATTTTTAAATCCTCTCAGTAAAAGATAATAGAATACCAAAATAACTAAGAATTTGTGAATACCAAATTAATGGAATTTTTTCATTTCTCATTCAAATATTTCAGGAGATTCTTTATATTGCAAAAAAAGAGTGAAATTTCGAAAATTATTCATCCATTTCAGGAAATAATTGAACAACAAAAGCGTGAAATTCGGCGATTAATGAGGGAAAACGAAGAGTTGAAACGACGTGTTGCTGCACAAAATCAATCAGTTAATGATTCCAAAAGTGTCAATCCTCAAACGGTGCGAAATACAAAAATTTCACAATTCCTGAAATCAAAAATTATATACTATTAAAAATATTTTCCATAATTAGTATTGTATATAATTATTATCAATAATTTTAATAATTATTTCTATTCATAGTTACAATTTTCTTTGATATATATATAACACAGTTATAATTTATTATTACTATTATCATAATTTTTCTACTACATTACTCTTTTTATAATCATATCATTGCTATTCTTTGATGTTTATTTTTACTTTTTAGATTACTCCTGATGGTTATGTATCGGAAGGAAGCTATGGTTCGTTAAGTTCATCCAATGACCTTCAATTATCATCGAAGAATGCTAAAGCGATTAGTCACTGTTAAAAAAAGAAATCATGCAGTTTTATATGAAAGAAAATTATCCGGTTTTATTTCGACGAACCTCAAATTCTGAATTTTTTCCTTTTGTCGTTTTTCTTTAATTTAATTTTGAATACTCTCTTTTTAATTGTTAAATCATATTTGATATTATATGTGAGAAAATGATATATCCAGTCTTAAATTATCCTAGTTAATCTTATATTGATTAATTGTTTTGATAATAAATTACGAATGAATTCATCCTTTCTCGTTATTCTATTTGCACCATATTGTCTCGTATACAATCATAAATGATTAACGGAAGAAAAATGCTTACCGTACTGAATGTTAATCGGAAATATTTCTGTACTGTATAATGGATCTATTATAATGTTTGATGCTTTTTAATATTGTATTTTCAATAATCCTTTTTCTTAATATTTTATTTTCTTTAAATTTCATTACTTTTGAATAACGATCATACCATATTATAATGTATATGAAATGTTCATTGTTTTTCTTCTTTCACTATTAATTAATATTTTATGTTGTTTAATCATTTCGACTCTTTTTTTCTTCCTGTTTTCTACTTTTGATAATATTTTTATAATAATGTAAATAACATCTTAGGAAAGGCAAGCAAATATGTATCAGCGAAATCATTAAAATTTAATACCATGATGAAGAAGTGCTCGCAATTATATCAATGAATGCAAATTCTCACTAGAGATTCTATAAGATTTGGTAGAAATTATCATGGAACAAATTTTCAAACTTTATCTATCCTTAAATCCTGAAAATCAAACAATTTCATTGCTCATTTCAGGATTACCATTGCTCATTGCCGGATTACCTTGGTGTGTCGTCTTGTGCTAAATTAATAACTTCGGAAAGAGAAAAACAAATATTGTTTTTCTTTAATTTTTATTGTTCTTTTTAAAAACAGAGAAAAACTAACTATTTAAAACTATTTACGTTATTACTATTATATTTTCCGAGCAGAAAGAAAATTTGGTTCACGATAATGTAGGATATATAAAGTGCGGAAGGGTGAGAATATGGACTCTTATCATTGATTCAATATTGCTTGATTTTTATCAGTTAACACTTGATTTTGTTGTCTCCATATTTCGTTATAGGTTCTGAAATTTTGTCACTGTGTGTAACATGCACTATAGGATAAAGAGTTTAAAAAAAAATTAATTCAATTTCAAGCCTTGAAAATTAAAACTAATTAGAAGAAATTTATATGAGTAATAAAATTGAAATCTTTTTAAAATATCAATGGATGAATAATGCATGCATGCATGAGTGATAATGAGTATCACTTATGTATAGGTATCACAAAAAGAAAAAAGTGAAAACGGAAAGAAGTCAGAAAACAAATTACGATTCGTCCGTAAAATTGGAATATGAAAATTGGAATCGGCAGATGTTGTTTGTACAGATAATAACAATAGTCCGAATTAGTGAGACTTAAATGATATCATATAAAGACTTGAACGACACCATACTATGTTATAAAATTGAACATCTTTTTCTTTTCAAAAGTAATTTATAAAACAAAGATAATAATTCCTTTCTGACTTTGCCTGAGATAATCATATCCTAAAAGTTATAGGTAGTTGCCGATTCTTCTCAAATTATGATTGGAAATAATTAACAGCTGATAGAGAAGAAGAAAAAAAGTATTTAGTAAATAATTCTTGAATTACTATTTTTAAAATAACATTTAAACATTGATATTTTTATAATAACTAAATAATAGTATCATCGAACTGTTGTTTACAATGAAGGAGAATTGCAACAAACATTTCAGTCATTCCAATTTCAATTTCAATTATTTCAGTTATATTATTTACTGCTTGTTAAATTCCTTTTAGTTTACGTATGTTTATTTCTCTTATAATGGAAATATTTTATACGATCTAAAATTATATATGGTGTAAGTAAAATCCATTTTAAATTGCATTATAATCTTTGTAAGGAATTTGTTCCGCTAAGAACATTCTTATATTTTCTTTATCTAAGATAGGCAACGATGTCTTATTTGAAATTTTTAAAGTTGTCCATTCTTGAGATGAGGATAATAACTTCAATGGTATCTCAAAAAATATATATATTATACGTATATTATCGTAATACGAAATTCATTATTTTTCCTTATCATCTTGAGAAATTTTACCAAATATAATTTACGAAAATAAATGCATCGAAATTTTCAGAAGCTGAAATATATCATTCCCTCATAATTTGTATTTGGTTTAGAAATTCAAATGTATTTTACTCTATTAAATATTTATGCAACAGAAAATAATGTTTTTCGAAAACTTTGCTCTGAAAAATATTTCGTTTTAAATTAATTAAAGAAAAGGTATATTCTGAATCTTTTAATATAACATGCTATTTTATCGATAATTTCCCAATATTTCATCTGCAAGCGATAGAGAGATAGAGAGAAAAAGGAAGTTTGGATATATCATTTTAAATATTAATACTAGTTCTATTGATTGAAAATTTGAAGCTAATTTGTAATATACAGATTATTTAACTAGGATAGTTGAATTATTTGATTTGATTTTAATACCTGAGCTTATTTATTCATTTCATGCAGTCTAATCTCGATTAGTTGACTTTATTCATTATTGGCATCATTTTTTCTGTTACTAACTTATGACACTTCATGATAATGGATATGAAATAATGCTTTGTACTTCAAAATTTATCACACTTTTACAAAGCAATCATTTACAGAAAATATCTATCAGTGATAGATATTTTGTATCAATCATAAAGGAGAATACAATCTAATTCATATGCCTTTGCTTTTCGTATTTGTTGTAACGATGAACGAAGATTATAATTATGAATTTTCCTGAAAATAGATAAGCATGCTTCCGATTAATTGTCAATCTTTGTTTTCCTCATGATAGTGTTTAAAATGATCAAATATAGCTATATTTTAGCAAAATAACAATATCTTAATCCTGAATAAAGTAGTATTTAAAAAGAGGAAAAAAAAAAGAAGATAATTACTGAACAAAACTCTGAATTACATATTAAAATTTCTATTTCCAAATTTGATAAAACATTCTCTTCCATCCTATTTAACAAAATTTTAAACGAAAAAGGAAAAAATAGCTAATAACTATATCATTCTTTTGTTATGGAAGAAATATTATATTATGTATTAGAAGAGTAAAATAACCCAATGATATTAATTTCATTGAATTTTCATTTAATAGAAAGATAACATAATATAACTTACATCCAAAACATACGTAGAACACAGCCTTCTTCTAATTTTTTTGCCACAAATGCTAATTCAGATTGTGCTATAGCAGAAGATATTTTTGTTCCTTTTAAAAAATTCTGATCATCACGAAATTCTTCATCATCAATCATATCATATAATTGTTGCTTCTGAAAAGAAACATATAAAGAGAACGAAGCATAATTCTTATAAATTTTCTAAATAAGTTTTTTTTTTTTGAAACAATTCATTCGTTGTCTTCAGTGATGGATATTTAGAACTAAAATATTTAAAACTTCGACTTTCTTTCCTTATCGTTTCATTCCTAAATAATATAGCGAAAAAAATTGCTGCAGCCAACAGTTAATTAATTAAAGGAAAATTAGATGCACAATTTTATGGATTGCCATTTCTCACTCTCTCTTACAACAACAACATATATCAAAAAATATATATATTAAAACAATAAAATTACCCGTAAAGCTTTATCAATAATTGGAGAAACAGATCGGGTACGATTAGTAGTAGCGGTAAATCCATCAGTGGTCATTTCGATATATTTTCTAATCGGTCTACGAGGTATATGATTGTTTTCTCTTTTTGGTCTCTGAAACTTTTACCGAAATCAATTTCTTGATAAAATAACTGATAATCTTAGTAGATAAATCTGGAAAAAATTACTTCTTTATATTTGTTGCAAAGATCAAAACGACATTATATATAATGCCATTTTCAAAACGAAACTCATCCTCATGCTAACAATACATTTGTCTAATTTTTTATGGTATAAAATATTTTTGAAAACAGACTGAGAAAGATAAATACTGCCATCTTTATAAGTTATAGCTTCACTACCCACTGGAAGTTAAGATAAATGTAAATTGGATAATCTAACGTGATTAGACTGTTTCTTCCCTACGATAATTTAATCTATTTAATCTGTGATCAGTATATCATCAAAAGCTTACAAATGTTTTCATTTGCGATTCAACTAACATTCAAGTTGAGATTTAAATGGGCTAATATTTTGAAAGAAGTAAAGACATCAATAACTGTTCAATTTCAAATCTTCAATTGATTTCATATTAGAATCAAATCAATCTTTGTTGATTGCTATCAATTTCAAATGTAAGGTAAGGGACTTTCTTTCATTTAATATAATGAAATATTCAACCTTCTTCTTTTTCTGCACTCTCTGATTTTATTTAATTGATTCAAAATTTTATAGCAAAAAGGGGAGCTACCTTCTTTCCATCTTGATAAGTTGACGTGCAGGATACATCACACTTTCTTTCATTAGTGAACAATTTCGGACGGTCAAACTTTCTCTTCTAAAAGAAAAAATTTTGACATTAATTTAATGAGTAATTAAAAATTGAAAATTTTATACTTCTATTTTTCCATCAATTAGCCAATTTTATTATTTTGTTGTTATGGCAACATTCATGCACATTCATCGATCATATTTGCTAAACGATTGAAAATTTTTTCCATAAAGCATTTAATAATGTTAAATTCAAATTATTAGTACTACCAGGAAGGAAAGTGGGAAAATTTTTACATTCTTTCTTTTTTTGAAATTCAAACTCTCTATTTTGAAATTTAAGTAAAAATACCGTTACCTTTCTTCTATCACTCATAATCTACTGAACATCTATCGATCATACTCATAAAGAATGAAACAATTTTAAAAAAGTACAATTGTTAGAAATTACTTCATTACATCGAAACCACCATGTCTTTTTACAATCTATCCTTCGAGGATATTTCACAACATCATTATAATCATGACGTTGACATTTTCGTTTATTCCTTCTTGAATTCACTATTTCATCATTTTTCTAAAAGTTCATCGAATGTTTTTGTTTGTTGTGACATATTTGAAATTTTTCTTTCAATCAAAGTGATTGGTTTAAAAAAATTCAAAAGATGATTGCAAAGATTGGGATGAAAATAAGTGTCAGCGATCTTAAGAAAAAAAAAACGATAATGGTGAGAATAAGGAAAGAAAAATAGGAGAAGGAAGTTTATTCATTAATCCAAATATTATCCAATTATTTCATAGTTTATAGTAGAAAGATTAAATATATTGTAAAGCACCCGCTTATCTTCCTTTATTCATATTTAATTTATCTTAAATTTTAGCAATTTCACAAAAAAGATGTTAAGTATTGAATAAAATTAGATAGAGCAGTAAAATAAGTAAAAAATATCAGAATTGATTTTATGCAGATTTCTATCATTTGTAATTTTTGCCCTAAGATAGGATAGAAGTTGCAAAAAACGTTCGACGATAATGCAAAGATACACATAGAGACACAAAAATAAAATATTGAAGAATTACTATAGAAGGAAAAAAAACGGATCAAAATATTAACGCTTAAGTACCTCTTCAGTTTCTGAATCAATCAGAATTTTCGACTTTTTCCTTCGATACTTTTCATTATCAGTTTCAGAATCTCTTCTTCTTCCTTCTTCCTTGCTTTTTTCGTCTGTATCGCTACTGTCTGTTTCACTACTATCACTATTAGGTGCTGAATTGAAGAAGAAAATGAATAAATGAAATTTTTAAGAAAGTGAGAAGGATAAGAGAAACAAGAAAATGTGCTCTGTATTATTTGGTTTCATCCATCAAACAAAATTTTTTAAAAAAAGGATATCATCTTGTTTTTTCCGAACTCTTAACAAAATCATACTTATCAGTAAAATTTTATCAAATTTCGAACATGTAAAAAATTTGTCTATTTAGAATGAGTACGAATATTTCTTACAAACGAAACTTATCAAAATGCTAGTTTCTTCTTCTTCGATCCATAGGTAGTTATTATGAAAAATTTCGGCTATTAATATTTGTAATTGATGAAACGAAATTTTGAGATAAAAATTGCCATAGATTTTGATAAAATTATGCGTGATTTAAAATGTTGTTGTCATTTATCAAATAAAGCATTTTGTTTTAGAATTCAATCATTCTCTGAAATTTAGTGATAAATGAAATGTAATTTTAAATAAAATGAAAGTATGAAAAATATCGTCATTAATTAGGATTAAATCTGATAAAATTATGCATTGTTTCAAATATTGTTGACAATTATTAAATGCCTTCATTTAGAACTTACGAATCAAATGGATAAGATTATGCTTTCGTGCATATTGTTTTAAGACTTCAACATGTTGAATGGATTGTAATGGTTCCCAAGTATCTTGACCCGGAAAACCTTTCCAGTGAACCTAAAAATGCATTCAACTATCAATTGGTATATCGATAATCACCCAATATGTCCAAAAATAATTGGTAAAAAAAAATCAACACATTTATGCATAAAAACAAATATCCGGATTAGCAAAATAGCAGATGAAGAAAAGGACAAAAATTTTTGATTGAAACATACACGGAAAAATGGACTGTTATAAGAAATATTTCGTCGATCAATCAACTTTTTGCGTCGTAACTCGCCATAACTAAAGTTAAGTGCAATAAATACATTACTTCTTTTAATAATTAATTAAAAAACTGTAACTTTTCTGCCACATTTATGAAATACATAAAAATCATCATTGATTTAGAAAATAGTGAAGATCTTGAAATATGAAATAACATGTATAATTTACCATTTATGATCAACAATCTCTTGAACGATAAACACTCCATCTGGTAGGGTATTTGATTCGTCGTCATCCGTTATTGATGAACTTGATTCTGATATTTCTAATTCTAACCTCGTACTATCTGTTTCATCATCCGATGAATCAAAGATTTTCATTAGGATCATAAACTTGCTTCACTCTGTAGTTTTCTATCATAAAAAAATCTTACTAAAATTAAAATTTCCCTCGTAACGTTCAAATAAATTAATTTCGAAAATAAAACAAATAATAAATTATTCCGCAAAAAGAAGGAAAAAAAACCAAAATATATCATTTATCAGATAAATTTCACATTATAATAATGACTATATATTTAAGAACTGATTAAAATATTTCGCAACATTTCCTACCAAAATATTTCAGTCCCAGAAAAATTACGATCATTTCTCATACATCTATTTAATTGCATTCATTAACAATTATCACACGAAATGCACAACATGCAACTATTCGTTGTAGTTGCATGGTAACTTAAAAAAATTTAGGTAATGAAAAAATTGCTGCAATTAATATGACAGGAATTGATTATTTTGCTTTATCAACTATTTCAACTGATAGAATATGAATATTTTCTCCCCATCCATATGTCAAAATATTCATTAAAATATCCCATATATATTATGATATTACAGACTTCATTAAAATATATATATATATGTATATATATATATAAATTTAAATAATCTTTCTATTTTCCCTCTTTCCTTTTTCCTCTAATTTCAATTCATTCATTCATAAGTTACTTTCAAGTAGTTCTTCCTACGAAATATTAAACTGAATTATCGCTATCCATAATAGACTAAATCTTAAATTAGATTAAATTGTTATTACTGCAATTTTTCTTTCATCACATTTACTATAACTTATTTCTTAACAATAATTATTACATTCATTTTCATCATGAAAACCATTTCGTTCTCTTATTTTTAATCAAATACTTAATGCATAAATATTCTCATTGCATATAAACTTAGAAATATCTTAAATATATTTGTTACAATTTAAATTTCCGAACAACATAAATTAATTAATTTTATTTTTTTATTTTAAAATAATTTTGATCATAATTTTTCAATCAATTATATCTAATTGTAATTTAAATCATTTTAAATTTCTCTAATATAGCAATGGTAGCAAGTATATTTTTCATCTAGCAATATCATCCCAGTATCATTTTTTAACTATTAATAAATGGAATTATTATTTTATCGATTATTTTCAATTATTTCAAAATTTACCAAAATTTTCGCTTTTCTTTTCATCTTAATCTTTCTAATCGAGATCATTTTTCTCTCCTCTTTCTCTGCCTATTTCTTACTTTCGATCACTAAAATCCATTTTAATTATCATTCAAAATTTAATAAAATAAACAAATAAAATTCAAACGAAAAGAAGATATAATAATAATAAAAAAATTCAAACAAATAAACCAATCCTTCGGAATATGTTCTTTCTCATTATACATAAAAATTAACACACATTTTAGTGGAAAAGAGAAAAACAGAAAACCTATCAATTTAAATCACTATTCTCATTTTCCATCTGTAAATTATACTTCCATTCCATTCTTATATATAAATCATTCTCGTCTATCTTCTTACTTTACTGTAATATGTTAATGTAATTTCGCAGTCCTTTTTCATCATCATCATCATCATTATTATCATCAAAAATAATTCCCGATGAAAACAAAAAGAACGAGAAAAAAAAGTAGGAAAATTGTGTAAAAAGTTAAAAGTTATATCAATCTATCATCTATCAATCATCATTCATATGATGATTATCAGGTTAAGAGTTCAATTCATAGTTGTCACTTATATTAATAATGGAAAGAAAGCTTTGGAAAGATCAGAAAGCAAAAATTATTTCATAGTTAATTAGCAATGATAATATTCAACAAAAAAAAAATCTAATTGATAAAAGAAATGATGTAATTAATTAGAAAATTAATTAGAAAATTTTCATGTAAATTTTTACAAAAATACAAAATTGCACTTTTCTTTTCATCATTAAATTTCTTTGTTTTTAACAAATTTTTCAAATCGTTCTTTTGTAAGAATAAGTAAAAAGATGGAAAGAAAAACTCATCGTATTATACTTAGCTTTTTTCATTTGTGACTCATTTATTTATGATTAAATTATAAAAACTCATATAGTTTGATATTATTTGATAAAATCATTCCATCAAAATGGCCTCTTTTAGTATTTATACTTGCTAAATTTATGTAATTTACAATTGTACTTTCGATCATTCATTTACATATAAGATGAAAAAGAAAATGAAGCCATTTGCTTCAAATACACTGAAAGCGATCATATGAATAATTTGACTGATCTACCAATCTCATAAAATAATCAGGCTTTGAGTGATCCAGCAAATTTACGAAATAATTAGACTATGATCAATGATTGATGTACAATAACTAAAATTTAGCAGGTATGATATAGGCATACTAATTAAATAAATTACACTACCGTTAATAATTAGAGAAAAATGTTGCAAAAATAAAGGTATAAAGTCAAGAAAACATTTTGTGAAGCAATTATTTTTAGAATAAATTATATATATATATATAATATAAGTGATATATAATTGATATATATAATATGTATAAGTGATATATATATATCACTTATACATATTATATATATATCAATTACACATATTAAAAGTTCTGAAACATTGTTTTAGAAAAAAATTATGTTTGTACTTGCATTGTAATTCGTACTATGTTTCTTTCATTAAGGATAATGAATGATAAGTAGGACATAATGTTGACTAGTTCAATTCATATTTTTATTCATTAAAATTATTAACTGTTGATCTGAAATTGACCTTGGCTGAATAATCTTGATGGTTCTGATAGCACCGGCATTTTTTATCACAAAAACAACCCATACTGTGATTTCTGATGTTTTGACCGAAAAAAATAGAGCGGAATAAATTTCGTCAGAAAAACGCTTTACGGATCTTTTTAGAACTTCACTTCATTTCGCATATTTTTCAGAATTTTGATCAAAACTTATCCAATATTTCTTTCCCTCAAGATTGATAGCTTTTTTTTTTTAGAAAGTACTTTATCATCGGCTGAAATTTATTCCAAATTTCCGGTTGATTACTGCTGTACATCGTTCGTATTGCCTAATCTTAACTGCTCAGTAAGCAGAATTTTCTGCGGTAGCAAAGAGATACATATTTTTTACCTGAGCCTCAACAATAAAAATACGTCTGCATATAAATGCCTAACTTTTGTTACTCTCTCCAGAATGGTATGCAATTAATTAAATAATTGAACAGAAATCAGCAAAAACACTATTTCAGTTGATCTGATTTTTGATCTTAATAGTGTCACATCTGATTTTTGATCATAATAGTGTCACATCTGATTTTTGATCTTAATAGTGTCAAAACCGATTGTTGACTTTGAGCTGACACATCAATTCACCTATAATTTAGCACTAGCTCGATTAGCCCTAATTCATTATGCTCCCAAATGTAACAGAACTGGAAGAGCTGATCTTGAAACCGAAAAAAAAATTTTTTACAATATGTCCCTACCAGCCACATTTACAGCATAAGACGATTAGATATATCTAAGTAAAATATATCACGAAAGCAACCTCAAACATATTGATCACATAACATTTTCTTTTTAAACTGTGTTTGTATTCCATCGAAATCTTAAAATATTTTGTACAGTGAGAAAAGTACCAGATGCTAAAAACGCATCGCCAGAATGCGAACTACCACAGCTTATCATGATACTATTTAATTAGCTTAGTTCTAATCTACTAATCATTTTCATCATTTGAATAAAATTTGTCCCTTGAAAGAAGTCAAGTATTTATAAGACATTAGTAAATCAAATCTCAACTTCACTTCACAGATGTTCAAGATAATTAAGATAAGCAAGATTATTCCCTTGTAGATTTCACACTTGCAAAGCACTCCGCCTTTATCTCATCATGATAGTAGAAATCTACGATCTCTAAAAATTTTTACATTTTTTGATATTTTTTCATTGCCTACTTACTCCATTACCTTTGGGTTCGATATTTGGGAATTAGGATGATACTTGGGTGTCGGGTTTTGTACTTGGATATCATATTGGTAATTATGTACAACTGAGTCCGAAATGCCCAACATCACACTTGGCCATTTGCACTCTGAAATTTGAACAAAATATAGGTTTGCTAAAAAGGAAAGAGAAGGAAAAAAATGTCAGCTTTTCGAAAATATTTGCATTTTTTTCTTCCTTTTTTCGATATTTACTAAATTTCCAGATCCATTGTAAGCCACTGAAAAACACGAAGAATCCAAGTAGTAACAACGATGGCGAATCGGCACAGCTATTTTTGGGCTAAACCAATACTAAGTATCGAACCAAACTTCATTTAACATAAAATTTTATTGTAGATTTACATAAAATAAAATGGAATCCGTAAAAGAATCAGTAAAAGCTTGTGCCCGCAAAGTATTTGTTAATATATAATTGAATGCAATGACACTTATGGAAGAGCTAACTAATTTGTAGAATTTCTCGATGAAATAATTTTTCCATTCCGGAGAGCACTTACATGATTTCAATCTTGATGAAAATATGAATTGAGATCAAAATACCTTATTCATTTAACTTCTTATGTAAACTCCAATTATTCATCGAGATTGATTTAGCATAATCTGCTACCTTCTAATTTCAAGTTTCATTTATAGTAAAAAAAGTCCCGGCAACTAATAGATGAAAGAAACAAAGTTTTCACTTGTATTTGACGTGTCTTTTGCGACACCATTCCATTGGCATCTATGAAACAAGTGATGTGTCACCATGTGAAGGGACCAAAATGACGAAATATTCCGTCATAATGGGAAGAAAAATGAGGCAGTAAAAAGTATGTCACTATAAACGAAGTTATGTCACTCAGCTAGGCTTATGTTGACGAGATTTGCAAGATAAAGTAAAGCCCGCTGATACATTTACAAATGATTAAAGCATTCATGAAGCAAGGCACAGCAATCTGATTAATTCCTGGAACAAACTACTTAGAATGTAGAAAGTACTTGCAGATATTGCAGACAAGGTCTAAAGTGGACCAAATAGGAAGAATTCATAATCTTAATATCGGGAATATTGCAATGTTCAATAGGCCGTCACAATCCGATAATAAATTCTATCCTTTTCATGATAGTGTATTATTTATCGTTCAGCATTCAAATTTCTACTTCATTAAACAAAATTAAAAGCCTCGAAGAAAGATCTTGAAATTAACAAGAATGGAAACTTTTGAATTCGAATTAATAACATCCTACTCTCGTCCATTCATCCCATTTTGATCCTTTTTATGCAGATATAGTCACGGGGCTTTTAAATAAAATATATAAGAGAGAGAGCCAGGAAAATGCAGGAAAATGCGCGACGGATCAACACGTACAGTATTTATATCGTTTACCAAATTCATCCAGCGTCACTCTTTTTTCTACAGCTTTGCGTTTTAACGTAAATTTAGATGTATGCTACCAAGAAAACGTTTGCATGGTCATTTAGTGCTACATATGATTCATCACGTTAACGTAGAATAACACGTAAACGGGTAAATGTGCTGTAAAATTAGAAAGAAATACACCGAAATCTTCTCCAGTACCGCTGCAACAACGTTCCCCTTTCCGCAAAAACCCGGTCTGTACCGCTCCACCTACACCGTCAAAGCACCACTGTGCAACTCACGCATCCTGCACAACAAATATTGGGAGAACTAGCACTAAAACTATATGGAAATAAGTTCTGGGAGATTTGGAGGACATTTTTTCCGCGAAAGCCACCAATACTCGCTGAAAGAGATCTACGCACGAATTCGATCTTTTCTTCCAGAAATTTAATGGATTGAAAACTGCTTCGCACAAATTTGGAACTATACACGGGCATGGTTTTATAAAGTTTTACTACATTCATAAAAGAATGTACAGGAATACCAAAGATATCAAAATATCAAAATAGGCATTTCAAGACCGCTAAGAATTTGATGAATTCCACTGTATAGAGGAAAGTTTGAAAAGACAAAACAAGAAGCTAGCAAATAACAAACATAATCCGCATTTTATGCGCGGAACTTTGGAATTTGTATAATTCCTTTATCCTATAATTCTAGAACCGTGATAAAAATGAGCTTTCGTTAGTACCCAAATTTAGGTGCTGTGCAGTAAGAAATTTCCAGAATGCCAAAATTATCATGCTTCAAAAATGAGATGGAACTTCACTGCACAGCACTCAAAAAACTTGAAAAAGGTGTTTAAGATAAAAAGTAAGTAATAATCAGATTAGAAAATTATATTGAACAGAATTTAATAACAAGAAAAGCAAAACGAAGAGATGGAACATTTCCTTCAAAAACCGTTACCTAATAGAAAACAGGTACAATTGAAAAATTTCAGGTGAAGAATTAACGAAATACTGTCAAGAGTAAAAGAATAAAACAAAATTTTGCAAGCATTATTCATAAAACATAAAATTTCTTGCACACGGTATTTAATTGAACATTGTGATGTTCTAGCGTTAAAAGAAATTCGTCATAGCTCATTAAAACTGATCGCAATATTCCTATCTAGCACACAAGTTCGAATTATTCCGTTCGATAAAATGTCTTTATCAGTTAATCGCTACTAAACTTCATTTCATAATCCTCACCACTATCACTTTCAATCACTTTCCTATTACGTTTTTTCTTAGGAACCACAAGCCAGTTATCTTCCATCTTTTCCTCCTCACTATCATCATTACCACCATCACCATCAACATTATAATTTATGCGATCTCTTCGGCGTAAAGGAAGTTCTCTTTGTCCTGATGGTCCTGCTTCACCGGAAGTTTTCGGATTTAATTCACTAGAATGGTCTTGTTGCTGTTGTTGCTTTTTTCCAACTTTCTATAAAAATAACGAGATTTTACTAAACCATATATATGTACATTGTTTTAATTTATTACTTTTAAAATTGCTTAATCTAATTTATAGTTTATCAGACTTATCGAACTATTCAATCAATTACATGTCATATACTTTACCATGCAATATCTCTGCACGTTAGATATGATCGCAATGAACGAAAGATTTCACAATTCCGACTTTCCTGTTTGATGTACCCCTACAATTATTGTCAATTATTGTCGCACGGCAAATATTTGATTTCCCAGTTGTTTTGACTCCTAACATCGACTTAAGATATCGCAAAGCAGTCATGCTTATCTAGAAACTTACCTAGAACTACTCCGTTAGTTTTGCCTACAAATACGAATAGCCACTTTTTTTTAAGATATAAACGAAATTGTTATTATTACATTTTTAAGTTTATGTACAAAAAAAGCAAGCAGTGAATACATACAGATCCAAAGAAATCCTCCATACGCATCACTGGAGAACTCTGTTCTTTCTTCGCTTTCTTCTCGATCCTTTCTAGCTTACCTTTCTTTCTGGTATTTTTTTTATCTTCTGGAGCTACTTTTCGCTGCACACGTCGTACCTTTTCAATCTGTAAAATGCCACATGTGCCATCACTTGAAAAAAATTTTGGGATATTTCATTTCACTTTGCAAAGTGAAGAAAACAACACAAATATTGTCACCATTTAATTATTATCCTAACTAAAAAAAACTACAGTGGTAAGCGTTTCACTGTTCGCACGGAAATGAAAAGTGAAACAATCTTTCCACAATTTCTTCATCTCACGAATTTTAAACAGAATAGCAACTTACATCATCTTTCTTATTGGTATCTTTTTTTTTATCGTCTGGTAAAGCGATAACACTGTCATCACTGTTATCGCACACGGATAACTCTTCAATAACATCATTTTCATCTAACTGACCATCTTCTGCAAGCGAAAATTATAATAAATGAAAAGCTAAGATGCATTCTGAGATTTCATAAGTCACATTTATTTCAAGCTTTCTCCAGAAAATCTACCAGTCATCCAAACTGTCTAATAATTCTGTTCAGTGTGCCACGCCAGTTAATGTACAACATTGTATTAGACAAATCTATAGTGTGCCAAAAAGATTTTAGCGAGAGTCACCGTAAAATATCAAAATCAATTGATTTTGATATTTTACGTTTATTAAAATTTACACAAATCATATGGCATTGTATAGGTGTACGTTTAAGTATCGTTTTTAAACAATTAAATAAATGGAAACAAGAAAACTCAATTAACCTTTACTTAGCTTTCTTTGCTTAACTTTCACCTTTGATTGACTTGGTTGTTCACCATTTTCGCCTTCATGAAAAAATTTGCGCACATCACTTCCTTCGCGTTTTGATTTTTTCACCACAAGCATTTTGCGTCTTTCACTACGACCTTCACAAGCTTTCTTCTGCTCATATTTTTCTTTCACTGCATCAATTTTTGGTACCACTCGCTCAGCAAATGGATCTGGTAGCACTTCCTGGACATTCGACAAGTAAAATAGCAAAACCAAATAAAACTACAAGCACGCCAGAAGCATATACACAAAAGAAGTTACAATTTTCAATTTAATCGAAGACGAAAAAAGAATAAAGCGGTACTATTTTCTGAAATTCTTAAGTTTCCAAAGCATCGCGTGAAAAGTAGCTGGAATGACAAAATGAAGAAATAAAAGCTACTTGCCTTCACTAAACCAATAGGGGCTTTTTTCCGGCTAACGCCGCCAGCATTAGACTGTAGTTTTTTGACTGCATTTTTAATCTGTATGTCAAGATCAGCCTGTTCCTTTGCTTCCTGAAAATAAAAGTAACCAATATTCGAAAGACTTTTGTTTCTCCTTTTTTGAAATCAATCGAGATTTCACAATAGCATTAATATTCCGAACAACAAACAGGTTTCAGTATCTTCCAGGCGATACGTATTGTTACGCATCACAAAGATGTTCAATTCATTAAATAATTCCACTTGTCATAAAGTGCTGTCGACAATGTAACACATATGATACCTGTTTCTCGAGTTCGGCAAGAAAACAATTCAAATCATTGTTCCATAAATCCTCCCATGTCATTTCTTCCAACGACTGAAATAAATGCTTTTCAGACATTTTTCTAATGCAGTCTTTTTAAGGCACCAAAAAACACACGCAAATTTTGTTCAAGCAAAACTTTTCCATTCTTTACAGACATGCAGTTCAACAGGAAACAGATTTAGATGTACTTATTTTATTATATATCAGAGTACTTTAGGAAATATTACTTGTGCTTGGAAACAATCAAGCAGTTAGTGCAAAAGGATTAATGCTAGCAAAACCGGAACTTATATTGAAATAATATTATATTCACAGAACATACTTTTAATTCGTTAAGTTTTGTTTCACTTTCCTTCAACAACTTATCTTTTTCCTCTTCGGAAAGCTTTAGGATTGCCATACCCACCAAATAATCGTAATCACTTAATTTGCTATCCAGCTCCTTACTTTGCTGCGCATCCTGCAGAAAAATAAGATTAATTACAGATTATATTAAAACATAAAAACTAGCTATTTATTATCAATAAGTCATAAATTTGACTTTTGAATTGAATTAACCTCTTCATTTTCATCTTGTTTCTCGTCGTCTTCATCTTGTGCTACTTCTCCCAATATCATTAACTCTTCCTTCTTCCTCTCCTCTTTCCACTTCTTGACGGGGTCTGGCTTGAAGTTCATCTTTATCAATTGTTCAACAATTGCAGCCTTTCGCTTGTTCTCGATCAATATTTCTCCTTTTATTTTAGTCAAAATAAATCTTGCCTGAATATCGCAACTCATCATATTTCATAAATCTAAAACCCAAATGGAAAAAAATGGTTTTGACATCAATAACTATGATTCCTTTAGAGAAAGTTTAAATAAAGATTCCAACATCCAATTATTTCAAATTGTGACATAATTACATTTATGCTAAGAATTCTAGATAATATAAGCGCGCAAAACATTTAAATATAACTACTATAACTTAAGTGAAAGAAAGACAAAAATTACTTGATTTGAGAGTCGCTCACTCTGTGCTCGTAATAGACCTTCTTGAAAACTTTTACGCTCAATGTATTTCTTCTTACGTATTTCAAAAAATTCTTTACATATATCTGTAACATTTTCAAACCGTCGCAAATATCCAAATGGATCGAAAAGCACCTGGAAAACGAGATCATAATTTGCATGTATAAGAAACTTCGCTAGTACGAATTCCAGCATATCATTCTAATAAGACTGAGTATTAGAAAGTTCTAGAATGAAGAAACGGTGTTCTAGTGATTTTGCTGTATATATTTTCCAAGGTATGCATTTCATTCATATTTCACAATTCGCTAAATATTTTCATTGGACTTTTATTAAGTCATACCGTACCATTGAAGTAGTGTTGATGACAGATTGCAATTTAAAAACTTTGTGAAGACCTTCTTCTTTAGATGCTCGAAGTTTATCACTATTCATTTTAATAACAAATTTAACAGTTGTATCAGTATGATATTCTTTGAAATCCCTGAAATATCGGTAATCATTATGAATTCATTCACCACGACAATAGCGCAAATAAAACGTTTACAAATGCGTCGGCTTATTTCCTTTTTGTTTTCGGGTCCACACAAGTTCAAAACTTAGAGAATTATCTCACATCTTTCTTAACTTTCACTTTTTCTTAATTTCTAGCGCATCAAAATACGAACAGCAAAAATATTCAGGAAAAAGCGTGTCTTACTGAATCCGAAAATTTATGACGGACAGGACCAAACATCAAACTTCGGAACTAAAGTTTTTTGTCTTTAATAGCTATGTATATATTTGTTACAATCCAACTTATTACTTAAGGCTGCAGCGTGAATTGAAGTTTGCCTCATCAATTATCAAGTTCCAAGACACTATACTTTGCTGGAAGATTAAATAATCTTAATGACAATTTCAGAAAAGAACTAAATTACGTTATGACTGCCGGTTGCTTATCACTTCCATCCATCATGGGTACCAGTACTGTTTCCTTGTAACTTTGTGTCCAAGTACGAATTGGTAATTCAGTTATTTCAATAGTTTCATTGTTAATAACTGCTACTTCCCCATTACAAACAAACCGTTGATTGTCAAGTTGTTCGATAGTACCACGAAAATGTTTATACCATGGTGTCTATAAACATTTTATTATTTGATAAGAATGGAATTTGTCGACATTCTTTGCGTTAAAAAACGAAACGATACTTCAGTATGCATGCAAATTATTGCGAATTTCAAATGCTCAATAGCAAGACGATGAGTTAGAGAACTAAGCAGTTTAATATGAACAGGACGATGGTAAATTTAGTTCATTCATAATTTTTCACTTAACTAAATTTTTCTTACCAAAGGTTTCGGCTCCTTGCCATTGATTAAGGCGCGTATATTATCCACTATTTCGCGAGGATTATAGCATGGTACTTTTGTAGACCAAGCTGTGCCGATACCTTCTGCACCATTTACTAATACAGTAGGAATAACTGGGCAGTACCTGCAATGAGATTTCATTCAAAAAAAAAACTTTCCAACTGCAAAAAAAATCACTGTTCGAAAATTCGTAGAAATTTTCAAGTTCCACTAACAGCTCGGCAATTGAATGAATTTACAATTCGAAAAAGATTAGAACTACATCATTCAATTATTGACAAAATATTAAGACTGATTAAATCAAATTGTACCATTCGGGTTCGATCTTCTGATTTTCTTCAAACAAGAAATGAAGAACATTTTCATCAATGGATGGGAATAATGCTTTTGTTACAGGACTGAAATTATTTCGGACATTTGTAAATTGTGTGATATTTGTATGCGCGCGATTTTTATATGTCTATAAGCACATGTGCGATTTTTTGTTATAAAGTACAATACTGGTGATCGTAAAGAAAAACAAATATGAAAAAGTGATGGAAAAATCGAAAATGTCTGTGAAATTTTTATGTTAGTAATTGAGAAATCGCTTACTTGAGCTGAGTGAAAATATAACGTGGACTGGCACTATCTTTTCCACCCTGCAAACGCGTACCAAACTGCCCGATTGGCAGCAAAAGGTTGATGTTGTTTGAGCCAACAAAATCTTGCGCTAAATTCACAATTGTTGACATTAGCGATGCCTGCAATGTTTCTAAGTGTTATGCTGTCCGAAATAGCTCCGCAGGAATACTATGATTTAATGAGAACTGTACGCAAGGCATAGTTAATCACGCATATTTTTGTAACAGCCGACATTGAAACTTTTATAGCACTTAACCCTACAAACGTAGTTTTTGTTTCCAACTGCAACAGTTTAACTTTCAAGTCTCAAGAGTCAAGGAATTTTCCACTTTGAAATGCAAAAAATTACTAGCCTTAAAATATAATGCGTAAGCAACATCTGTGACAATTTTATTCTAGTAGATTAGTAGAAATCTAAAGTAGGAAAAGGATTGCCTAGAGAAGAACCGCGTAACATAAATTATGCTTTATTACTTATGCCTTTTTTTGTTTTTTGTTTTGTCTTTCCTTTCTCTAAATTATAATAAATCCATATCAAAATCATTTTCAATAAACATCCAGAAATGATCCGCTACAGATACTGTGAACAATATTGCAGAAATATTTTAATTACAACAAATTTTAAAATTCCTTCGAATCTTAAAACAAGTGAAGAAAAGACTAACCTCGCCATGATGATAAGCAGACATTTCACCCACAGCACCAGCTAACTGAGCAACTTTTACTTCTTTTTTATCAGCTCGTTTAAAACATGTGAACAAAACCTTCAAAAAACAAGCATTTGAAGCACAGAAAGTTATACTAATAAAACTACAAATAATCAGTTAAGCAATTAAATTGAAGTTCACATTAAGCCACATCTAACTGGGACCTACTTAAAGAGCTTATTACTTCTGTTTACTCTGACGTGAATATATGATTTAATTCCACTATTACCTTTCGTTGTCCAGGTTTCAAACCATCTACCAAACTTGGAATCGACCTTTCATTGTCACAATTCGAAAACAGAACAAGTTCCTTATTGACGAAGTCGTTGAAGGAAATAACATGGGTGTTTTTATCATATAAATATTCTTCCGTTAAACCATCTTGTCGACGACTTCTTCGTTCCTGAACATACAAGACCGTTACTGTAGTGTATTTAGATTTAATTTTTATTTCCTTCCTATTCTTTTCTAAAATCCTCTTCCTATTGTCGCGAACCCTAACCTCTCAGTGTCTCGGAAAGATATGCTATAAGTGATGCTCTTTAAACTGTTTTTCATGAATGATTTGTGGGAAAAATTATCATTACAGATATCTTAAACAGTACAACATACAGCCATCCAATTCGTAAGCCATATTTTTCGTTCTTCAATCTTTTTCTTGCTAAAAGCCATATCCAGTGCCTGATCATCCTCTTCGCCATTATATTTGAATTTTATTCTATGCTTTTGCATGTCCATGAAATATTCCCTCGCTTCTTTCGATGTCGAAGTACCCAAACCTGTAAAAAGCCTGTTTCATACGAGAATTGAGGCGCTAGTGATTTTCTTACTTTCTTACTTTCTTACTTGAATTTGAAATGGATCTGAATCGGCCTACAAAAATCTAGAGACCGGAATACCTTTCAGTCATTAGTATTGAACATACCTTTGTAGTATTTAATACGATATGTTTTCCAATTCTCTGTATTCTTAAGCCATTCTCTGTATTCTGGTAATGAAAAAAATGAAATTTCTTCCTTGCCTTTTGTTGCCTGTAATCAATGATTTCGATAAACCAGTGGAATTTTATATCCTGATCTATCGATGCCAACATCGATAGATCAGGATATAAAATTCGAAAAAAAAAAATCCAAAATCGATTATAAAAATTTCGGACCTTGACAATTGGAGTGATGAATTCCCGAATAAAACCTCGTCTAACTAATGCTGGCCAGTTATAATGTATAAAATTGATGACCAATCCTTTGATATGTGATCCATCTTGGTCCTGAAATAAGACATTCGTTTTAATTAACAACCTATTTGCTGACAATTACACAATGAATAAAAGGAAAAAATATCGAAAAAATTTGGTTTATCAAAAAAATAATACTGCTGAAAGTCCGATCACTTGAATGTTTTAACCGTCATCATTTGCTTAGCGTGTGGTCTAGAAGAAAACTTGACAACAGACAAAATTTTACTTCAATCTTCTTTGATAAATTCTTTTTTTTGGAAATCCATACAGTTTCACGAACAAACCTGGTCGGCCATAATCATAATTTTACCATATCGTAGAGTTTTTATATCCTCATCTTTATCGTATTTTAAACGATACTGTAAACCAATAATTTTAAGGAGGGCATTCACCTCGACATTTTCCATTATCTGGAAAAAATGTTTTCAGCACAATGAAAAATAAAATTTTGATATTACCTGACATATCTTATAATGCATTTGCCTCTAGTCAATTACCTGTTTATGATTGCCTTCCCGAACGTTAAGCATTTTACCCCGAAGGGGAAAAACACCATACTTATCACGCCCAACAACCCCAAGACCTGAAACAGCCAACGATTTCGCTGAATCGCCTTCTGTAAGAATAAGCGTACAATTCGCCGAATTTTTCGTACCAGCATCGTTAGCATCTTCCAATTTTGGCACACCCTATATATAAGCTAACTTTAATTTCTTTTGGTGGAAATTCAAGCGCAAATAGAACTAATAATAAAAAGAGATAAAATAAATGGATTAGTTCATAACTTTACGGTAATATGTCTCTTCAATTAAACGCACGTTTTTCATTCTTCCATTTGAAATAATATACCTTTAATTTGCTGGTCTTTTTAGACGAGCACTTCTTATCTAATGTTTCCTGCTGTTTAAATCGTACCCATGCCATAATTGCTTCTACTATTCCGCATTTCAATGCTGCTTGAATAAATTTTTCCGAAAGCTCACATGTTGAGCCAAAACTTTTCGATTGCAGCGTCATCGTTTCTTTTGTTTGAGAATCAAATGTTGGATTTTCGATAAGTGCATTAACAAATATCCACATATGATTCTTGATCTAAATTAAATAATGACCGAAATTGTCTGACCACTTAGTACAGCGGTTACACATAGCACACTGACTTATTGAAGCGGACTACTGGGATTAATCGTCATAAACTCTTTTTGACTTTTAAATAATCCGCTAGGTATTCGCACAAAATAGAATCTTTTCGTCGTTTTCTTAAGTAAATAGAAGTGAGTAATGAAAATCATTTGGAACTAAAATTACCTGAAATGGCTTTACATTAATGCCGCCACTTTTACCAATTTTCTTTTTAATCACATCAATTAACTTGCTCACAATCTGATCCACAACGTAATCAACATGTCGACCTCCCTAAAATAGAAGAAATTGAATAGCCTTTCTCTTCTTCTTTATTCTTCTATTAAAATATATGCTTAATATGTTCTTGAAATTGAAAATCAAAATGTACAGATGAGAGATGAAACGGATCAAAAATGCAAACAGAAATCCATCGTGTTTCTTTTCAATATACCACGCTATCAACCATACCGCATAAAATCAATCATCTTTACTAAATCTATGAATTTGAAAAACTCACTTTCTTATATTAGGAGAACAAGGAAAACCTTTGTGGTGGCGATACTGTTTGTAAATGAGATTTGCTGAAAGCCTTTATCCGAAATTGTAAGTGCCACTTCCCAGCGCGGGCTAACTGACTCATAGACTACCTTGTACGCATCACCATTACTGTCAACATTGTGCTTTACGTATTGCTCAACGTATTGCTTGAAGCCTTGCACCTAGATTTTGGTCAAAGTATCTTTTAAAGAGAATCCGTTTTTAAACCATAAGAGATCTCACAATATCATCGAAAACACACTTATCGACTGTCTATAAGTTAGAAAAAAATGGTAGCTGGGCTCCATTCACACATATTAGTACTAGTGAGGATGCGGAAACTTATTCATTTAATGAAAGGAATGAGAAAAACGCTAAATAAAACGATCCAAAAAAATATTTTTAGAAACATACAGGAATCTGTTTGTTGTTAAGGAAGACTTTTACACCACTGGTTGAACCAGCAATATCATAAGCCCTGCGACACATTAGTGCCACAATATCATCATCCAATTCCGTCATTTTAAACTTCGCCAAATCTGGCTTGAAAGTTACTCGCGTAAAGTCATCTCTGCTACTGCTCGTTATCTTTGGTTCTTCATCTTTTGACATATTATTGATCCATGTCCAAAATTTAAGAAAAATATGATTCTTAATTTAAAAATATGATCGAGTTCAGAATTTAAAATTCAATTTGAAACCCAGAATATCAGAATATCAATTGAATGATACAAAAATTTTAAAAGAAAAATTCGAACACCTGTTTAAAAGCTTTTCCATACTCATTAAAAGAAGTTTCCAGGGTGAATTTTTTGCTAAATATATTACAAAGTTTTGCACCATAACCATTCCGGCCACCTGTAACATAACTTTTTCAGCTAACTCTGCATATGTCAGGTTTTCATTTTACATGTTACCTAAATTTACTAGTAGTATTCTTGAAAACAGAAATTTTTATTACGTACTCCATTCAGTACAATAGATAAAAGAAGTTCCCAACGCTATGAAACAAAAACCACTAATTACTGGAACATAAAATAAGTTGGCTTAGCAACTAGGCCTTCGTTTCCAAATGATATCTGAGTTAAAGATTGCTGGAAAAATTAGCAAAAAACTACCTGTAACTTTCCGCTCACTGTCGTCATAATTTGAAGAAGTAAGTAGGGTACCAAATATAAGTTCGGGAACGTATAATTTTTCAATTTTATGCAGCACAACTGGAATACCTCGGCCATTGTTAAATATGCTAATTTCATTTTCCTCCCTAAAAATTTCCGAAATCATCATTGCTTCACCAATTACTAATTTCCTTGGAAGGGCAAACTAGATATATTCCTTCGCTGAACTCCCAGCTCAATTTGAGGATTAGGATTCGTACAATAATGCACTAACCAGTACTTATTTCTCATCTCTAGCATACTAAAATAATTTGCTACTGTAGCAATCTATCAATGGTTGTTGTCGATGATATCAAATGCTTAATACCATTTGTTCCTTACTATAGAGCAACTGTGTGTTTGTTGATGTTTCCTCATAGATACTGGTAATCCCAATCATTTTTTCGAGGGGCATTGGATGATACATGGAGGAAATTTGAAATTTTATTAACTTACTTGTTAATATTGACTTTAATAAGATTCATTTTCGGATCTCGTTGCTTGTTATCAGCAGCATTCACCAATATTTCATCGAATATCTTGTACAAACCTGGCACATATGAGATCTCACGTTGAACTATTCGATCGGTTTTCAAATCGTATACCCACATTGGCTATAACTTTTGATAACAGCTTTTGCATCCATTGGAAAACTTTGTAAGTTTAAATCTATTCAAGAAAATAACAGATTTACGATAAAAATAACCTACTTAGATTTATGACTTTTGTAAAAAACGAACTGCATTTACCCAATCACTTTTTCATATCAATTTTCAAAATTTTCTATTTCATAACTCAGCACTTCCAGAAAAAATCTCAAGATTTCAAGCCGATTTTTTCTCTTGAAGACAAAAAAGTCCGCTTGTAAATAAACAAAAACAATAATAAACTTACAGTTCGATCGGTATATTCCACGGAACCAATATATGTATCCGGTCGTAGCAGGATATGTTCAAGTTGTGATTTTTTTTGGTATATTTTTTCAATGCTTAATCGCTTTCCTCTATTTTCTTTCCCTTCTTTCTCTAAATCCACGAAAATATCCATTGGATCTTCTGAAGCTGGTCCTACTGCTGCAGAGAAAAAAAATTAAACATTCCCTTAAAGAAATTTAGTTTAACAGAAAAAGAAAGAAACTATTGTCGTATTTATTGTAGTAGGCACAAAATGAATGGATACTATTTGTAACTTACATGGTTTTTCAGCTTTCTTTTTTCCATCAGATTTTACTGCTCTCTTATGAATTGTCTTTTTGATTAATTTCGGTGCTGGTGGCGATGAATCAAATGAATCTTCATCCAAATCAATAGACTAAAACGGAAAGTGCTCTATTTTGCAAAAGTGAAGAATTAGTTAAATACATCATTCGTATTCTAAAATATTTCATTGGAAGTAAATGATAACAAAATTAGCAAATGATAAGCAATTTCAGCTTAACCCAAACTCATTAAGCGAAAATTACATTTCATTACATCCACAAATATTACGATGAATAATAACGTATAAAAGACCGTAATCGTAATCCTGACTTTGATATTAACACTAATTTAAACTAGCTTAAATTTAAAAAAGTAGAATTCGTATACAAACTACACAATTAAAATTTATTTAAATAAGTTTTCATGAGGAACTAACAATGATTTCTGATGAGTCGCACATTTCTTAATGAACTCTACCGGTTTACTATCAAACCAACAATGCTCGAAAATTTTTAATTCTCTACCTGAAAATAAATAATTGTTGAGAAAAATTTTAAACATAATAATATTGTCCTCTCTTCCTCTCTTCCGACGAAGAATTGTTCCTGAAGTAAAACATACAAGCTAACGATTGATGATATAATTTTCACGCAGAGTTAGATATTTCAAGCACTTGCAAAGTATTTAATACCTCTTGCAAATATTTAAGTACTAGCAAAAAATTAGCAAATGATAAGCAATTTCTACGCGTAATATCCGCGTATACTTAATTGGATCAAGCATTTTTCTTTGCACAGACTTCAACTATCTGTTATGTGCATGTAAGCATCGGAAATACTTTTCAAAATATTTAAACATATCAAAAAGATTACCGCGCACAAGAAAAATATGAAGTATTGATTCTATATAAATGCGTGGCGGGAAAAATTTGAACCAAATTCACCGAGAAAATGAAATACCTCAAGCTATTTCATTTCCTCGGGAATCTTTTTTTGTTCATATAATGCATATAAACTTCGTATGCATTACTGATTAATTTATGATAATTTAAGGAAATCTTAATAACCGGAACAAAAGAGACGAAGAGGAATGAATGATTGGATGATAATTTTTCAATTACCAGTTGAATAAAACTTTTCAGGTCAAACTAAGTTAATAATCAGAAGGGAAACATTCAATTTGTGAAAGGTTCATTCTGAAGTTATACTGAAATTTCCGAAGTGCAGTGAGTGTACTGAAATTACAAATATCCTTCCTATAACCTACTCCAAGACTATATATATATATATGGAAACTGTAGACAATTTTAAAACTGAATTCCCGATTTAAAATTTTAGATCACCGTTAGAGACAATACTGGTTGCACACTATGTTTATAATAAATTAATGATATTAAGTTTTTAGCAATCTGAACTTGTTTGTTTTAAGCTCAGCAGTAATGTCAACCATTAAAACACTTCATTTTTTTACTTCATTTTACACTTCATTTTACAAATCAGCTTAGCAGGGCCTTTCGATAACCAAAGATTAGTGATATTTGATAAATTTCAAGAAGAAATATTAATGTATGATTCAGCTTGAACTTACTTATTTTTCTCGATCATGTTAAAGAGACATTTCGAGATACTTACTTACCGTAACATCCACGTTCATTCAAGTTCTTGATTACTTTGATATACTACCACAAAATTTCATAATCCATAAATACTTGTCAAATTACTTCTGTATGTTAAATGTGAATTATATAGAATAATACTAAAGCAAATATTTACAAGGCATATACCAAATCCAAGAAATGAAATTGTAAAATTCAATCTTGTCGTAAACTTCTGAGAATTTTAAGAATCAAACTTGCTAACAATTTCAAACCACATTTTGCAACAAATTCAAATTAAAAAAAGAAAGCCCATTCAATGCATGGGAATTTAAACCAATGCATAGCTATGATTTTCTTCGACAAAGTTCCATGCATTTAAGTTGAGTAATTAAGCCGATGATTGAAAGCATTAATTTACGCTTAGCATATCAGTAAACTGATGGAAAATCATCGTTCTGGGCACTCCACTCCTTCCCCCCCCTCCCGGCTTCAAGATATGTCCCAAATAGTTTTATTTATTCAAATTCTTTTCAACTTTAAAAAAATCAATCAAAATCCCCGCCAAGTAAATAAATGCCCACTATGAGAATCGGAATCACTTCTACAGCTTGACAAATTATTTGAATTGGAACGTATCGTGGACATAATCAAATTGAAATCTTTATAAAATGAATCATACCAATATTTGCAAAATATTCTAATAATTGATATTAAATCAAAAAATTTAAATCAAAACTTAAATTAAATCAAAAAATTGATATCAAATATTAAATATTAAAAAATAATTGATATTAAATTTTGCATTATTATAAATTTCAACGTGTAAAACAACTTGCAATGAATTTCTGAAAATTGATGATACTATTTGAAAGAGGAAAATAAATGAAAAGTGGCATGATTGAAATGGAAAAAAGTTGGAACCAGCCTGAATTTTTGCCCGCATCATTCAATTCTAACTTATTACATTCAAATATTCTCCCTAAACTATTTTCCTCATTATTTCGTTCTCTCAATCTATCAATTCTTAAATAACTATGGATATGTTTTCTTTTGGCGTACTCCAATCATTGAAATTCTTTTCAACAAATTCTACTAATTTATAATCTATTCTGCTTTTGCAACTTCCAAGTCTCGCACCCGAATCTTATCCATTATTATGAACAGAAGTATAGGGTTTCCACTACAATTTACATCATCAAATAATACATATACATCATTAATAGCACCAACTGATATCACGGCGTTATCAACACGACAAAAACTGTATAAAATGCAAGAAAACTGCAGCGAAAAAACATAAGCAGATGAATGAATGAACACATGAACAGAAATGAACTGAATTATCACAATACCCGCAATCGCCTTAATACAAATCGGAAAATTCTAAAACGTACAATTAGCCGGCGTGCCACAATACGACAATACATGATAATTATAATAAGAAGAATGAAGAGCAAAAAGCCATTGCTAAAATTAAAATGATAGTTAAAACTGAACATATACGTTTGTTCAACATTATTTTCTCCATTCTCATCGAAGAATTGGACGATTTCATGAAGCTGCAAAAATTAAGATGAAAGATTTGAATTTTCAAAAACATCCTTTTGCACACCAAATGTGAAATTAATGAATAAATAATAACCCGCGCAGAAGTTAGCTCATTCGAAAGCTGATTCTCATCTGGAACATCTGAATGGTCACCTCTGAAACGACCTCCGCTCAAATCTCTGAAACAATTTATATATGGAAATCAACATACCGATTAGGCAAATGACTAACATAAATAAATGGATGGATTCCTATGGATTTATTTCTGTCGAATTTGATCAGTTAATTCTACCAATAATAATTTGGTTACTCTAAAAAATTTTTACTTGATCAATTTAAATCGAATCATTTTAAATTTAATTCAAATCTTCAATTTAAAAATTTAAGTTGACTTTTTAAAAAAAAGGCTAAAGTTTTAAATTAAATACCAGTTTAAAATTTTTTATTTGATTAATTTATATCTTCCAATATGATGCCCGTTAAAAAGTCCTGCTCTGATGAGATAAAAAGGCAAGTTAAACTACAACGAGAATTATTCTTAAGAAAGTTAGGACTTGCATTATTCAAATGTTGCTAAGTATTTTGATATATCTTAAATGGACGTCCGTTTAATGTAGTTTTTTTAACACATTTAAGTGAGACTTTGATAATATATGAACTTACGATGGAAGCGTAACGTTGGCGACAGGTTGCGAAATAGCAGTCGATAAAATCTGACACTTCGGATCTTCTCGATATAGTGGTTCAGCATTCGCTGAGATGTTCAGTATAACCTATATTTAAAAAATCTTAAAATCAAAATGATCTCTGCCCAAAGATTTAATTCCAACCATTCCTTATTTTATACTTCACTTTCCATGAGTTATTTTCCCAAAAAAATAATCAATAAAATTCTGTGAAATTTTATGACCCATATGGGTTAATTCTCAAGGCATAGACATCAACATGTATCTCTTGGTATTAGAAATTAATTTTCTTCCTACTTTCGAATATTTCGCGAAATTTGAATTAGTAATTCTTTTTGGAGGCGGCAAATTCTGCGAATACTTCCCAGGTAATGCATTACTAGCCTGCAAATATTTTTTAAACCATTCTTCAAGCTTTTGTTTATAGAAATAGATGACAGAGAGAGATCACATATCCAAATAATAGATTGATCGGAGGTAAAGAATGAGATCAAAATTTTCTTCAAATAAAACCTAAGAAATATTGCTCCTCACTTATATTCATGTTCATATTCAATCACCAACGACCTAACTATAATTAAATAGAGTAAGAGTAAAAGAAATACGTTATAAGAAACTAGACAATCATAATGCAAACGAGACTTAATTCACGATTAATTGCAGCATCATTATTACATATCTTATATGTCAGCAGAATTTTTTCGTTTCCAGCTAACAGAATCTTTCACTTAATCATTATCCATTGTGGCACTGATGAAGAATATTGCATAAATTAAAAATATTAAGAAAAATACTGACAGGTATAAGTGACTGACGCAAACTATCGATCAAATCACCTTCCAGTGCACTTTCAAGAAGTGATTCTAATAAAAAGATACAGCTCTTTGTATCCGATGTTGTGCTAACTTCAAGACATGAACTATCACCAAAAACTGCCACAAAGCCGGACCTAAACGTAAACTAATTTTTTTTTGCTGATTAAACTAATTGAAACATTCAGAAAAATATGGAAGCTGAAAGATCAGGAACAAACTCCCGTTGGCTAGAATGAAAAAGGAGGATGAGAAAAAAGTAAGCTATATCCCCGATATACGTTAAAAGAACATGTACCGTCAGCTAAAGAGTTCTCGTATCAGGTTTTTAAATAATATACAATATAATTGCGCTGACTTTATTTCTTTAACTAAGCAGCAAAAAAAAGGAAACAAAAAAATGATATTTCTCTTAAATTATTGATGAGGTTAGGACCCATGATAATTAATCCAACTTTAGGTATAATATTATAACCAACACATTAATGGACAATTTATTCAGCACTTAAAATTTGTCTGATATATATTATGAACATCTAAGTGCTTCATTAAATATTCTACCTTGTCATATAAATATTTTGTACTACGGATTGCATTGATATGCCATGCTATAAATAAATACTTTTGAAGCCATTAAAGAAAAAATACCGCAAGGACCTGTTCGATGAATTATAACTTCCCAACAGTGAATCAGTCTTATTAATCCAACTTTATAAAGTGAGCTCAAATTGCTAAAATGATAATAACTGATTACATTTAACCTAAGGGTACGTTACACTTACACCTGAAGTCCCCGACTGGCGTTCCTTTTAAGAGGTCCTTTTCAAATGAATCAGTTTCGAACTTACGTTTTTGATAAAGTGTCATTTTTGAAGTACAGAAAGATGGCCTCCTTATACAATTGATTAGCTTTTCGATCTGTTATTATCTCTTCACCCTGAAAGAACGCGGCCTTCCGAAATTAGTTAAAACGAATTGTTTGCAATTACTTTATTTAATACTTAAATGCTTTAAAATTCTATCATAAATATAGTTTAGACCACAGGTGCTCATCGCTTGTTTTTAATAACAGGAAATATGAAAGAATTCGGATGAATAAAGTTCAAACAAATGAAGAGACTTTCATTAAAGCAAATAACTTCACTTAACTAAAATAATCTGACTTGCCCGAAAAGGCTACTTCTAATAAATTTTTTGTGATTTTTTAAGAGTCATTAAATCCGGAAAAATACTCACCAAATCGATTAAATCGGATAATGCAATAAAGGAATGGGATGGGGCATTGGATATTGATGTACCTGACAAGTATTTCATTGGTGTTTGCCCTACAATAGCGATACCATCTAGAACCTGTAAATCAATTCGATTTTATCTCCCCATAATGAGAGAAAAAAGACAGCTGAAGTTGTTGACCTAAGTGATTACAAGTAACTTACTTCAGAGCTAAAACGTAACTATTAATAAAGAACTGAACAGGAATTTCTTCAATTTTGTACCAAAAATCACCTTTTCTTATCAACATGAAAGAGAATCTTACATGTGCGCTTAAAGAAATATTCCATTTCATAAGAAGATCGTTTAAAGCCGGTAAATTTGTCCCTCCTGTTTCTGGTTTCCACCACTCCCTGAAAGATTAATCAGCTTATTATAAAATAAAAAAGTTGCTGAATTTCTTATCCCTAAAAAACCAATACACATCGAGAGCTTCAACTCATTTGCTCTCAAAAATCTTGACTTTTGGCACACGTTTCGAAAGTGAACAGAAGAAAATAACCATGCAGCGATGAATATGAAGTTCTTGATGGTGAAAATCTAAACAGATTTTCAAAAGTCCTTTTATCAGGAGTGTGCAATCATATAGACTAATCCCCTAACACTACATAGACTTTTTTGGAACGAACTAAAATTGTTAATCCCAAATTTTGTCGGAACAATCTTTTGTGATTTTCTCAAAACTTCAAGGACTCCGGCTGATAAACCCATATAATAAGACAGACAAGCTTTGAGAAGTATATTTCCTCAGTTAAAACATAAAATACGTGAGAAAAATAACATACTTGGTATTTTCATCCATAAATCGAATTTTTTCAATTACAGATGTGTTGTACCAATCCGCGAAAATAATCAAATTCAAATTAGCATTATTTACTTCGTCATAAAGCTTTTGTCGTTCACTAGGGAAAAATTCATCCTCTGGATCAACAATTAAAAAAGCTGAATACTGGCTCAGATCCACACAGGTAAGAGGTTCGCCTAATACCTGACAAAATTGACGTGTTTGAAAATTTTTTCAATTACAGATGTGTTGTACCAATCCGCAAAAAGGATCAAACTCAAATTAGAACTCATTTTTGAAATGAGTTAGAATTCATTTTAAAAAATATTTTTTTGTTCACAACTAGAGACAGATTTAAATTGAAACACCGGAAACTACGCAAACATTCAAACTATTTCTATTTCTTATGCATCCACAAGCCTGACACGATCGAGCAATCTTCTTTGAGAACAAGTTCTTGAGGCCAGATATTAAAGCAATTACTTTGATCCAAACACTCAATGAGTTCTAATTTGAATTTGATCATTTTTGACTTTCCATATTAATACAGTGAAACTGCTTAATTTTGTACATCAAAAATCGACTCGATTTTAAATACCAATAACTAATTCGACGGAAGTCAATAAAAATATAACTTAAAAAACCTGTTCACTAAGCTATATAAATCTTACTCACATTATGTGAAAATTTGAAACGGGGACAAAGAAGCTTTTTGAAATTAAATAAATAACTTTTCCTTTCCCTCTCTCACACACTGCTGCTAAAATGAATGTTCAAAATTTAATGACTAAATTAAAATTATAGACCTCGGGCCTACCTCAATGTAGTAACCACTACTTCGAAGATATTGATAAAGAGGTTTGAAGTTAGTATGTGGATGGTCAGCATTCCAGTCTAGTATATTTGTCTTGTCACGTAAATCATCACGTGGAATATATCCTGGTGGATAACGAATGTTTCGATATTGATCCCACAGCAACCGTTGGCTAAAATGCTCTCTTTTTTGCTTTTATGTTTTTTAATAACTTCAATTCATATTGGATTATTTTTCTATCCTAGTTTTCCCCACCATGCTCTCAATTTTGAATCCTCAACTTTATTCTTTCATCTCAATTAATAAAACAACAAATTAGAAAATAAAGCTGCATGTTTTCCATAAATTGAAAAGAAAATTACGTTGAAATATAGGAGATGAAAAAGCTAACCTCCTTGGGGGCGTCGGAATGATACGAACTCGTATTGGTAACAATGCGGTTGATCGCTTTTGCTCACCTCGTTCATCCGACTGCAATGAAACTTAATTTTAATTTTCTAGAAAAAAAATTCATTTGTAACATTTAATCATGCTTGATATTTGATTGCTTATGCTTCTGATTTTGGATTTTTGAAAAGGCCCACATATATTCATATCCTGAAAAGTAAAACAAAGCAAACAAATTTACCATCACTGTAACGCTGATTCGTCCGCTGGCAGTTCCATCATAATTATATCCATTTGGCACAACATTTACTATAACTGCCATGTAACCTGACCATGGCCATATGAAATCGGAATGCAATATTGAAATATTAAGCAAATCACCGTTTTCTTCCAGAAACGGCTCCCATACCGGCTAGATGATTTTTTTTTTAATTGTTAAAATACATCGAAATTAATTGAAAACAAAATATGCATTTTAAATTATATACTTACCCCTGCCATTATTCGACCAGACACACTCATTCCATTAACGATCGTAACCTGTAATTTTGAATTAAATTCTAATTATGTAGATTTCAAGATAACTTAGAACAAATATTGAATTTTATTTTCTTAACGGTCTTTCAGTCCTACACTTTGAATTCTCCCAGGTTCGCAATAGATACTCGTGATCATTATAAATAATTAAATGAAATTTATACATCAGATGGCATCTTTCTCCTATATAGAATAACTCACATTAATGAGAGCTGGCATACCAAAAGCATAAAGTGGTTGACTGCAATATGGCCACATATAAGGACATTCATTGAAATCAATATATGATGGAATGAAACTGAAATTATCAAATTATCTTTCGAAATTATTTTTTCATGTAATAAAAGAAAAAGCTCTTCAACTTGAATGATATCTAACCTAGTTAGGAAAATTTGTATTGACTATATCTGTTAAATTCACAATGGTACTGGTGAGAACCGAATTACTCAAATTTTTCTATTCTTACACTTGCAGCTCTTTCTCATCTTTTTTTTGCTTAAAAACGTTCAGCAAGAAGGTTATGAATCGTCACAAATCGACCCATCATCTAATCAAAATAGTATAAATTCAGTTACACCAGGACAAATGAAACGAAACAAGTTATTACGTGATTCGTGGAGAATATCGCCGCATGAATTGGAATGACGCAAGAATGTTCATTTTACCAGCACCCTGTTCAAACATCGTTGCCACACTGGGAAGCCTTGTTGCACCTTCCACTAATGCCTGCTTTACAACTGCAGGATTCCACAAACGCTTATCTTCGATACCACTGTAAACCCAATGTAAGAAAGAGAAAAGTAAGAGTTGACTAATCGCAGAATTTTCGACTTCTCAACTTTCATATTAAAATCCGTTTGGAATTATTTAATTTTGAGATATTTACTTTAAACTTGTTCTTGAACCTGAAATTTCGAAATTTCCTTAAAAGGGAATCTGAGAAATATTCGTATTCTAAGTTTTTGAAAATCTTTTTTAAAGTTTGCAAAAAAAAAATAGCCGGTCACAAGTAACACTTCACCTCAGCATTACAGCTACCGCTCCAGCAACTACTGGTGATGCAACGGAAGTACCAGAAAGGGCACGGCAATTACCGTCTAAGGAAGAGCCATAGACGGAGGCACCATAAGAAACAATATCCGGCTTAACTCGCCCATAACCACCTAAAAATAAATTTCAATCATGAAATTGATAATTCAGATACATACAAATGCATTTCAGCACGTCGAACAATGTTCTAACACATATTTACACATTCAGTTGGTGATCAAAGCGTCAGAAAGATCTTTTACAAAAAACCACCTTACTTGGTAATTCCCAAGTGGTCATTCCACGTGAGGAAAAGCGTGCAATTTTAGAATCAATATTTATACCACCAACACCAATGACATCCATTTGATCCGCTGGATTGTTCAGAGTTCTGAAAAATAGGAAGAATCATATGGGGTAGAAACATAAACAAACCTTTTTTATAAACAAACCTTTTTGTGTTCTTTACTTTTGAAACTTTTTCAACATTGAAATTAATGGAAAAAGTTGGCATATTTTCCTCATCAAAAAGATCAAAAAACCTAACCCAAAATTTGGTCCATCATTTCCAATTGCTGAAATGAGAATAATGCCATTCGCAGTTAGTTCCCATACCTTATCCATAAATGGTCGATCAGTAAAATCAGGACCACCAATGCTGCAAACAACCAAATTACTGCTCGTTTCATTTCATACTATTCAAAGTATACTTTAAAATTTTAGATTCTTGATCTAATTATTTTATTTTTCTCAATTCCATTCAACAATATGATTAAGTTACCTCAGATTCAGAACATTTATACCCCGTAATATGGCATGGTTGAAAGCATCAAGAAACCATGAAGTAAACGAAACCTGCAATCAAATACTGAGCACCTGATTTTGCAAATGGTTTCAATTCATTCTAAAAAAATCCTTTCTTGTTGACTTCAACGGTTTCTTAAAATGGTAGGACAAATATCAAGTGTAAATGAATAAATTTACTGAAAATATCTTAATCACTGCTATTCCAACTATAGAAAACTTAGACATCGATAAGCATACATAGAAACACTATTTGGTAAGTTTAGAAATTTGTGCCAGCAGTAATTAAATAGCATTTTAACAAATATATTCAACGTAGCAATTTATTCACTGACTGCAGGTTCGAAGAAATCTTAAAACTAACTTGTTTCTTTGTAAAAACTTTATAAGCATAAATGCTAGCAGCAGGAGCAAATCCATCACATCTCTGATCTGAGCTAGCTATTAAACCAGCAACAAAAGTACCATGACCAAGGCCTGAATTATAACAAATTCTTTAATTTCTTCTTTGTAAAATTCATAAAAAGTAGATAACATGAAATTTAATGAAGTTTGATAACCATCATCGGCAGTTTTCTCGTTTGTCCAGTCAGTACGTTCGACAATTTGCTGGAAATGAGGATGATGTTTGTCAAGACCCGTATCAAAAACTGCAACCTTCACACCTTGCCCTACAAATGGTTTGCATCAAAAATTAGAAAGATGGATAGCATTAATTTCTCTAACTGCATGAAACTTCTAATTTGCGATACTTCTTTATATCACAAAAATTATGAATTTTAAACCTAAATTCTAATATTATTTTCTATATTTTTCACCCTAATTATTAAAATTTATTTTTTAATTATTAAAATTATCACCTTCGACAGGATTACCACATCCTTCGAAACATGATCACTAGGAAGTTCGATCTAGTGATATGTTTATATATGCAAAGTTCAAATATCCTAGGCATACACACAACTTCAAGACTGATATCATACAGAAGCTTTATATATATATAAAATCTTTGTTTGCAAATCATACAGGAAATCAAAAATTTAATTTAAAATGTGAAAATTTGAAAAGTCTAAAAGCACCTTTATATCCCATATTCCATAGCTTCTCAACATCAAGCAGTTTGGTAACATGACGAATTTCGGTATCACCAGAATGACGTCTTCGACTCCCTAATAATTTTTTAGGTAATGATGCCGTGAAACGATTATTACTTGCAACATGTCTTGTATGAATAGATCGTTGTAATGATTCTATAAAGACGGTTGAATTGCACGCGGATACCTGAATATTTACATCACCGTAAAGTTAGCAAAAAAATAACGAATTCAAGTGCTATTTTTAGATCTATCATTCTTCTCGAATCATTTAATAAAAGTTATTGAAGGAATTTACAAAACTCACTCGAAGTCCAAAATCCGAAAACTACCGAAATTTTCAAGATTTAGATTTAAAATCATTTTTTAGCAAAATCAGTTGCTTACAAATTAAATTAATTTGAATACAATTAAATTTGATAATAATCATATATATTACTTCGACGACATCAAAATCGCTCAATAAAACAGGCCTGGCTTCGACATTTACCGTAATTTTCGTTGCTTCTTTAATTATGCTATAACGAATGTTTGCTGTATAATATCCATCATATGTTACGATGTATGCTGCAATTTTAAATCGTTAAATCAATATTAAAAAGAAAACACTCTGAAGAATTTGACAGAATCCATTCAAATCTTTAATCTAAACGATTCAAGAAGCTCCACGATTCATTTCTTAAAATATTTCATAAGTAGTGTAGTATAAATATTTTATAGTTCCTTTTATTATCATTATTAATTGTCTATTTTTGTCTTTTTCTTTTCTCCTCATTCTTTTTCTTCGATTTGATTACCATTTTCTTTGATGTGATTTCCTTAGCTGTTAATAAATTAATCCAATCAATAATCACTATTTTCCTTTACTTTCTTATCCATTTCATTCGTTAAATATTGACACTAACTGTGCGGAAAAACAGAACTGTTTAATTCGATCAACTCATCAATTTCTTTTTGGGATTTTTTCACATCATATTTTTCAGAAATTACAATTCACTGTAATGAAAATGAAATAATCAAGAATAAAAATTCAACAAACATTTTGATTCGATAATCGAGCACGATGATAGCTGGAAATGATTATGAATATTAATTAGTATAATGCATGATGCAATCCAACGAATAGACATCAATTTCTACCTCCACAATAAAATTATCGTTTTCCTTTTTCGTGTACCATTAATTCTGATCACTTTTCTTGCCTAAATATCTCAGCATTAAGATTTAATCAGAAATTATTTTTGTCTGCAATTACAACTATGAAGTAGTCATTTCGTTCAACCAAATTAATCATAGAAAGTATTGCTGCTAATTACGAAAACCTTATGGTTTACTTCCATTTAAATATTAAATTATAATAAGCACATGTTACGTTGCTTAGGCAACTTCCAATCGAAAAAATTTCCATATTCGAATGTAGTCAGTTGTACTTTGCTCCTACTAACAATACTTCATGCATCTTAGACCTAAGCTAAGAAGAGTGGCAAATTTAATACTCGAAGACAATAAATATCCTTATTACTATCATTTCCCATAATCTTCTCCAATATTTATTCTCATGGATCCACGCTTCTATTTTTTAATAACAGATACCCGCGACATAAACCATCGGTGGTTGCTCGCTACCTTTCCTTTTTTTTCGCCGAAACACTCCCGAACTTTCTTTGGCTATTTCAAAAAATTGTAGTTTTAACTCTTCTCTTTTATTTTTGCAATATCCAGTAAAAGTGTACATTCATTGTCATCTTTAACGGATAAACCGTATTTGGTTGTCACCATAAAAGTACTGTACGATCAATGTGGAAAAGTTAGAATACACGCACTTTATTGAGGTTGAAGGAAATAAACACACGCACGCACACACACACGCATACAAAAACGCGCATACATAAATACATATATAATAAACATACAATGATATATAAAATCCTGAGAAATCCGGAAAGAATATTTCAAAAAATTACTTCATTTCATATGAATATACAATTATTGTCTGCATCGTTTGCTGTTCTTTTTCTGGAAAATAAACCTAAAAATGTTACACAACTTGAAAAAGAAGTAAAAGAATTTCAGAAAAATTTAATTGGACATTCAGCTCAATATGGCACGGCTCGTTAATCTTATTGATCGTCAAAAATGACAAAGAAATCCGGAAGTATCGATGGACAAAGACGCTTACCTAATGCGTTTCAACGGCAAGCTATGAAACTGCCTAAACCAGATTCGATTGAACAAATTTAGTTAACAAATGGAACCTAATTCAGAAGGCAATAGCAATAACGGCAGAATGAAGAAGGGATAATCCGGATGATAGTTGACGTCATAGAGTTCAATAAACTGCATGAATAAACAAGCATTACTGCAATTTAAAGAAAAAATAAAGCGATCAAAATAAATAAGATAAATAAAAAATAATGGAGTATGAAATTCTCTAAATATTAGTAACAAAGATAACCTAGACATATAAAATGCACCAAACTCATGTGCTAGTAACAATGAGAGCTCAAACTGAGAAAAGGTAAAAGGCAAAAGATAAATCGGCTTGCGCTTTAGGTATAACTTTAGCTCAGTGTATAAGTATAAGAACACATGTCCTCTTTTTTTATTGTAATAGCCTTACGAGAATCATCCATGACTTCATATTTGTGCACTATTCATTCATAAAAGAAAACAAATTGTTTGGAACCGCAGTATCCAAGTGACAGTGTTAAATGTCCAAACGAACAACGGTGAGTAAAAATTTAAGCTAATGATAGTTGAGTGACTGAGAACTCGGAATAAAATTGTCAAAAAAATTCTACACTTAAGTTTTTAAGGCCGAAATTCTATTTCTTAACAGAACCTAACTTATTATTGCAACTCAAAACTTCAAAGAAATACTTAATCCTCCAAATAGAATAATTGACCAAACTGTAAATATCTAAAAATATTCTGGAGCGCCCTTTCCTTAATTCACATTTCAATTCACTAAATCGAACAAATCCATATATGTGGAGAAAACTAATAAAAATGAAAAAGATAAGTTATGTTTCATGAGTCAATTTATAATCGTTCTCTGAACGTTTAGACATAATTCATTTCCCGATACACTGTTCATTCAGAATTTGTGACATCGCCGCATGTATGACATCTGGACATGACACAAAACAACAACGACTCTCGTCACCAACGACCTGTTTCACTTCTTCACGTAATGACATTTTCGCACCAACAAATATCGTCAATACACCCTGCAATTGAAAAATGTGAGAATTGTTCGGATGAAATAGATTTAATGCAATTGATTTAAATTTCGTCTGTGCAGTTATATTTTAAAACAGACATGCTCCCACAAATGATCAAATGAATCTGCGAAATGAATCTTCTTCAGTGGATTGATGCTGCAAACGCATATCGTGCAACAGCATCATTATTATGGATTCACCGCTTGAATTATTCTTAGGAAAATGAATAGAGAGATTTCTCACTATAGTCTACGACTTATCAGTAACAGTAATTTGTGACTTCAATAATGAGATTAAACTGAGTTTAAAAATTCAGAAATTCCAGCAAATTGCACAGCTTACTTCAATTTTGTATAAAGCCTTACATTTCTAATCTTTTCTTGCACATGTTAGAAAACCTGGGAGCGCCGAATGTATCATTAATAAAGATGAAAATGATAATCTAACCCTGATTCTTTGGGAATTATTCGTATAAATATTTCAACTTTTATTTTTAAACTTTCGCATTTTCTACGTTCCAGGGCAAAAAAAGGTAAAATGAAAAAAAAATCTTACATCCGGATTTTCTTTCGCTGCTTGTCTAACCATAGGAATATCAGATAAAGTGTCGCCGCAAATCAAAATCTTTCCCGGTGCCTTCAGTGAATCACCCAAACTTTTTATTAAACGATCTACTCCATTGGCTTTGTTCCATATGATTCCCGAACTGTGCGCAACCACTTCAACTTCTAGTTCTGTGGACGGATCAAATACCAAAACCTCAAAAAATGATACTAACCTCTTATTTAGTATTATTTCATTTTAGAAAAAACTAAGAGCAGCATTTTTAAATTTACTTCATGCGAAAATGAAGAGTAACAGCAAACAGAAGCAAAACTGCCAGCGATAATTAGAATAAGTAAATCAATATCTGACATACTATGCAAAATATTAAGCAATCCTATCTCTGTTTCTTCAGAAACATCATTCGTTTGATTTAGGATGGGGTGTCAAATTTGAAACACCTACCTGACTATTAGGATCCACACGATGCATTCGTTCCTTCACAGCCATCTGATATTTGTTGGACAATTCGGAAGTTACATGATGGAAAACAGTTTGGACGCCTAATGTTAATCGATCTACTTTTCGTTGCACGCCACTTCCCACAAGTGCAAATGTTGCGTAATCCGAGGAATGCAGTAAATCTTTCATCTGAAGTTATTTGATCACTTTATTTGTATTCATATCACTGCAATTCATAAAAACTGATAATCAACATGAAATCAATGAAAAAAATCGATCTCTACTAACAGGAGATAAAAATAAGAGAAGTAAAAGAATAAGTTGAAAAAACTTTCTTCGCAGAAAAAAACGGAATTTCTAAAAATTTAGAAAAATTAAAAGTGAAATATAAAGTGTACTTCATCGTCCAAACGCTGCAATGCATTGAAACCTTCATCCGTAATGCCATCTTCATGGACAACACGTTTTCCAGAAAGCCACCATTCACGACCCCATGAACCGCTGAACATTACAGGACCATCAATTGGCATAGCTGTCAAATCGAGTATACCTGGACCACGTAACGGACCTGCTGTTAATACCGCGCTTATACGAGTAAAACAGGCTGCGAATCGAGTCATTCCAACTGCACTGTACACAGGCTACAAAACTGAATTTAATGAAAAAAGGCAATCACTATGAGTAGAATTCAAATTCTATATTAAGGAAGAGCCCCGAAAAGTGAAAATTCCATTGCTCGAATCAATGCAAGCTTTTTTATGCTTCTTCGTTGAAAAGAATCACATTCTTGCACAACAAATATCAGCAGTCAATATGCGTGCTGTAAAGAGTTGTTTAGTAAAAATCATCCCCAGATAAAATTAAATGATTCCCAAAAAAATTACCTGAAGATTCGTTGCATACTGTGAACAATAGTCTTTCATTGTACCATCCCAATCCGTCACAAATATTGGTTTCTTATCGGTAGTTGCTTCTGCACTAAGAAATATGCGAAGGAATCTAAAAAACTGCTATTCAAAATTTCTCATTTTTGCAGATAAATATGGGCTTAAAATAATTTTTAGAACGAGAAGATTCAGGAACTTACTTCACAGTATCTTCGTATTCTTCAACAAATTTTTCTTTGCTCTCCGGATGGTAATTTGCAAGAATTGAAACTAAATCAATTCGAGACATTATGACTGGCCATGACAAACCTGGCTCTTCTCTTCGAATATCCATCAATGTATCGAGATATTTTAAGTCTTTCTGCAAATAAAATGTCTTTCCTAATTTTGAAATATAAATTGTTATTTTCGTTAAACAGAAGAGCTTATAATTTCCTTAGACATTTGCGAATTCACGGCTTTGGCAACAAATTATTTTCCTCCATATTTTTTCTATGTTCCAGGAATATCTTTTTTCGCAAGTTTTATAATAAATGTCACAATATATTTAGGGCAGAAATGCAGATAACTGAAGTGGAAAGAGTCAGGGAAGACTAAATGCAACTAAACATTCTGCAACAGTTATAACAATAAATACTGAACGAGACATACTTCAAGACCTCTCGTTTCATCGCTGATATTCACACTCAATTTTGTTGTAAGTGAATACATTTCACGTTGGAACGAATGAGTTTGACTGTCAGTTAGCCTTTCATATGCTCGTTTTAATATTTCAACATCATCTTTCTCCAAATCCTTCTCATTTAACAATGCAAAAACTATCGCACGTCGTGTTTCTTGCATCTGCAGTACCGACACAACAGTTATTTTTTACGAAACCATTGATAAATACAAAGATTTTGACGAATCATCACTAAGCATGCTGCTGCCATATGAGAGATGAAATAGTTTCAAAATCTTAATAACTTTTACCAAGTTATTCTGGAAGAGATTAATCGACGAACATCAAAGCATATAAAATTTTTATATGAAAGCATATGAAACTGCATGACAGAAATGCAAACCTTATACATGAGATTCTTGAAATCATCAACGGTTTGAACATTATCATTATTGACTACACCACTTTGTTCCAGCGACAATGATGAGCTAATTTTATGGGCTCCTGAAGAGCATGTTTGCAGCAAAAGATAAAAATATCGAAAACAAAATTAAATAGATAATAAATCTTACCAGGAATCACTTGATTTGGTAAATGCGTGTCTACAAGAATAAAAATTAACTTTCAGTTATTTGCCAAATATGATGTTAAAGAAAGATTTAACTTGCTCTCTTTTGAGCTTGCGCTAGTACAATCTTTCTGCCTTCAATACTCATTCAACTACAACAACTATTGCAGTTCTAGATATTATACTTTCCCTATTTTTGGACGTTTTTGTAATCGAAGAAAAACACCTATACATTCTAAAAATATATTAACTAAGAAAGACATGAGCTCAATATATTTGCTACAGAGCGTAAATTATCGAGCAATTCTCAGTCATTTAAGTTTTTATGACCTAAAATCTTTAAAAAACACGGCACATGCAAACAGAAAAACTTACCAAGGAATAGAATTATCTCATACAGATAATGTGAAAAGGAGATCATGAAGTACACTCAAAACAAACAAACCTAATTCAAATTCTCCTCCTTTCTTTTCCGCTTGCTCATCTTTTGTTGTTTCATGCTTTTGCAACTTAGCATTTCTTTGCTTTTCTTGTTCTGCAACCGTTTCCGTCATTAAGCACCCTCACAGGAACGTCTTTTAAAGCCACCCTATAAAAAACAACAAAAGTAACAATCGATTTTGTGAACAAGCTGGCATTTGAAAAAAAAAGAACTAAGCACCGATCTTTGCTTACGATACATTACTTTATAAAAATATAACACCATGGATCTTACAAATAAACTAATATTAGATTTTCCATCGGTATATTCCGACCACTAAGTAGATAAAGTGAATTTATAATCGTGACAAAGAATCAAAACTAAAATTAAATGGAGCTGGAAGCATATATCAGTTGGAAGCAGTGAGAAAGGGTTATCGACTGATTATGACCTAAGTTCTAAATACTTTAACCATATATATGTAATGTTACTAATAGTGTATAGTTTTAATAATCGTATTTATATCCAAGGCAACTAACCCGTTGATCCTTTGTAACCGCTAGAGTTTGTGGCAGATAATCTGGATGAGATAATACAACTGAGTACCACTTTCTCTGGTAATCTCAAACAGCACAATATATGAAAGAGGGTAAAACAACGATAAATAATGCTGAATCGTCAATTATCTTCCTAAAATACTTATAACATTATTGGAGAAAAAATATGAAGAGAACAAGTAAAACATTACAATGATAAAGATGCATACTACAATGAAGTAAGCTTGTAATGATAATGCAAGTAACCAGGTATTACTATAAGAGAAAATTATGGCATAATGTAAAGGATAAAGAAAAAAATCACGAGAAACATGTCATGGAAACTCAGATAATTTTCAGAAATGGCACGACTTATAACACTACCATTTACATTTCGAAATGTTTCATTCCTTTCATTACATGAATTAGAAAACTTTTGTCCTATTACTTAACTTATAACGGCATAGAGGATCATTTGATACACATAAGATTCTCCTCATTGAGAGCTTTAATTATGCTTATGATTTAGGTTATTTCATAAACTCCATACTTACATTTAAGCTATTTCAATCATAGCCCTTTCAATCATATATAAAATGCTTTATGCCAAATATATACTAAAGAGCAGAAATCATTCCACATAAATTTTAATGTCTCATATAAATTTGCAAATAAACAAACAAACATGCAAATATGCAAATATGTAAATAAATACTTTCAGGAAGGATGAGATTTGCGAAGAGAAATATCTCAGGCAATATGAATATCATTTCCACATGCAGCAAGGGTGAGATTTGCGAAGAAATGAGAAATATCTAAGGTAACATGAGTGTCACTTTCACATGCTTTATTATCTCGTGACGAAACTATATATCTTATTCGATAATTATGACAACGCAGGCAACAAATACCTTTACATCAATAAAAAAAATTGTGCTATTTTTACATATTAAACGTCACATTACGTGTTACGTGCCTTTAGCTCATTTCACATAATCCTAAGAATTAACAATCCATAAACGAACACAAAAAAATATAAGATCCACAACACCGCTTAATGTAATTAACCGTTGGATCCGTAGTATAAATTTATCGTGATTCAACCAAAAGTGCCACTATGAAAAAAATCAGTATTCAGAAAGAGTAATGCATTGAAATCTAAGATTCTGGTATACAATATGTGTAAATTTGAGTTAAAATTAAAGGCTAATATGTTGCTGCTTAAAATTAATTAAGAATATACTATGTATTTGAAATGTTGAAAATTAAAATACAATAGTAATTAAATCAATAATTAAATTTTATGTTACTACAAATAAACAATTGCTAAAGTTTCGATATTTACAATTTAGCAATCATTTTTTAACTGAAATATTAAAGTACATATATTACATATATTTATATAATATAGCTTACATATATTTATATAATATAAACACATACAAAAATACATATAAATCTAAAAGAGAAGTGAAGTTAAGAAATCTTGGAGAATTTAACTTTATAAATAATCATTGAATTAGGAAGTATTTAAATCCATTTATAATTTATGCTTCTGGTCTAATCGATAGGATGAAAGGAAGTAAAGAAGGAAATGGAATTGTTCATAGAAAATTTATTAGTTTAAGAATGATAGAGGAATGTGATTAGTTTTTGTCGAATGATTAATGATCATATTTACTGCTTCAAATCGATTGATTATAATTTATCATTTCTAATCGATTAATCAAATCTAAATGTTTATTTAAAATTGATTAATTATATTTAATATTTAAATCATTTATTCATATGTGATTTTTTCAAATTGTTTGGCTGAATTTCATATTTATTTTTAGGTTTCAGTACTTCCATTCTTCATTTATAATTTATTGCTTACTTATCGTTATGAATAAAAGAATTACTTTGATTATAATTTAGTAAATCGTAATATATTATATCATTATATATTCAAAAAATAATAATCATTATAACATTAAATTAGAGTTATATAACAAATCGAAATAATAAACAATATTATAAATTATATTATGCTATAATATAATATAGATTAACATTTACTATAATATAATATAGAAGTAACCAACAATCACAGTGATTAATTTAGAAATCTGAAATCTAATTTAACTAGAATGAGATGAATCAATCATTTTATGATGATTCGTGACAATCTGAAATAGATAGTTTGAAATCTAAATTCTTTATCAAACGGATTATCATTTCGATTATGCTATTAATAGGAAAAGAAAATAAATATCGCTGCAAATTTTGCAACATTTAAATCAGATAATGAATATTGAATGAGATAGTGAATATTGAATCAGATAATGAATTATCAAATCAAATAATGAATGTTGAATCGGATAATGAATATTGAATCAAAAAATGGACATTGAATCAAATAAAAAATACTGAATCAAATAATGAATATCGAATCAAATAAAAAATACTGAATCAAATAATGAATATCGAATCAAATAAAAAATACTGAATCAAATAATGAATATCGAATCAAATAATGAATATCGAATCAAATAATGAATATTGAATCAGACATTAAATATTGAATCAATTAATGAATATTGAATCAATTGATGAATATTGAATCAAATAATGAATATTGAATCAGATAATGAATTATTGAATTAAATAATGAATATTGAGTCAAATTAATTGCAAATTAAATTATATATAATTTCATTAGCCATTCCAAAAATATTATATTAACATTGTATATTTTGAAATAATGAAAAATTTAATTATTTTGAAAAAATCGACCGATATGATATTTTGAGAGAGAAAATGAAAATAATTACAAAATATCTCTGGTATTTTTAGAAACGATTATATATTTTATAAACAACTTGATAAGTGATAAAGAGGATACAAACAGATGAAAAAAACAAAGAGTAAATAGTCTTAATTTCATTTAATTATGTCATCGAAATTTAAAATTTCAATTAATTTTATTGTTAGAAATGCAATATATTTTGATCAACAAAATTATCCATCAATTTCATTTGATATTAAACTAATTAATTAAATCATTAGTTAAAAAAATTAAAAAGAAAAGTGAAGAGAGGAAAATTGCAAAAGATAAAAATTGAAATTTCATTCAACGCTTTTTTTATGAGTAAACAAAATATCAGAAAAACAATGTATTGATGGGTTGTATATTTACAATTTAAAATGTGCTGATTTAAATAAATTTCTTAGTGAAAATTTTAATGTTATTGATGAAAACTTTGGTACCATACAGGAAAATTAGGTACCAATTTGAAAATTTGGTTGTTGTTATCATCAGTAGCCGATTTTTAACGTAGAGAGAAATAAATTATTGAATGAATTTAAAAGGCGAAAGAAAAATAAGGATTTAAAATTAAGTTAACTTAATGGATTCGCGCTGTTATAACTATCATTATTTTACTATTGTCATTATTATTATTTATATTTATTATTATTATTTATTTATTTATTTATTTATTTATTATTATTATTATTAACATTACTATTATTATCATTGTCATTGTTGTTATTATTATTATTATAAATACATGCATTCTAACTTATTAAATTTCGACATTTATCCGCAAATTCATCAGTTAAATTTTTCCTCTCAATTTATTGCATTCATTTTGAAATTTATTCTTTCGTATCTGAGGGATACAAAAAGAATTATTCCATTTCAAAATTTTCATCTCAAATGATTAACTTTTTTTAATATTATTAATACCGGAAATAATATTCCGAAAAGTAGGATAATAAACTGAAATGATTTTAATTTATTCATATAATAAAATTATCATATGAATGATTGAAAAGATAATCCATTTTAGTGAAAGTATTCAATGCACATGGAATCAGTTTTATATTTGATAATTATAAACTTCTCATACTAATAATTTCCGTTTATTTATACAAACTTTCGATCGATCAAAATTAAAATGAAAAAAAATCAAATTTTGATTAATTAATTAATTTTACTAATTAAAACTGATGATACTTTTTGCTATCAAATTTTGTGATCAAAATTGTTATCTATATATCAAAAAAATGAAGTTAAAAAATGATTGGAATTAATTTATGCTTTCTATACGGATTTCAAATAAGCGGCGTAGATAATAAACAAAGCTCTCATGATAGATTGGATGGTTAAAAAGAATTGAATTGATGCTGTCAATATGAGCGAAGCTGAAAAGATTGATTTCAGAGCGAAGGTGTGGGACATTTGTAATATATATAAATATTATGGGATGGGCAGAGGAAGTTTCAAGTAATAATATCATAAGTAAAACGATGGCAACAGCGTGCGTTGTGAAGTGTAAAAACAAAAAGAAATTTGTAAAGTAACAAATTAGATCGATATGGAAAGTTGGTATGGAATATTTGTTGATGAAAGCTATCAATGAAATATCCATCAACAATTATAACAACAAATAATAATAATGATTAATTTCTTTTTCTTTTTCATTTTCACTTTCTATTCCTCTTCCTTTTCCTCTCTCTCTCTCTCTCTTTCTCTTATCCCCTTTTACTCTCGCTTTTTCTTCCTCTTTCTTTATTAATTATAATTTTATTTCGTTTGAAAAAAGCAATACAT